ACTGTCAACTAAGAGGGAGCCGGTCGGCCGAGCGGACAGCACACTGGTCTTGTGATCCTGTGGTCCTGGGTTTGATCCCAAGCACCGGCGAGAAACAATGAGCAGAGTTTCTTTCATCCTATGCCCCTGTTACCTAGCAGTAAAATAGGTACCTGGGTATTAGTCAGCTGTCACGGGCTGCTTCCTAGGGGTGGAGGCCTGGTCTAGGACCGGGCCGCGGGGGACACTAAAGCCCCGAAATCATCTCAAGATAACCTCAAGATAACCCCCTGGCTCAACAGGTGACGAATATGTAGATGACGGTTGCTGGCGTGTCGCTCGGAGGCAGCGCGGGAGCTCAGCCTTGTGTCGCTAGACAAAGGTGTGACAGCTCGCCCCTCAAGCTGATCATCAATGATGAAACAATACACACCGACGTTTATCCTTTTGCTTCCCACGTTAAGGGATTAATTTGCTTGTACCATGAAGGAACTGGTCTGTCACACAGACACCACTGGCAAGAGCTCTGGTTTGGCACAACACACTTATACCCAGTCCATATGACCATGGGTACTGTACACCCTGTGTGGCGGGGGACACTGGGTACTGTACACCCTGTGTGGCGGGGGACACTGGGTACTGTACACCCTGTGTGGCGGGGGACACTGGGTACTGTACACCCTGTGTAGCGGGGGACACTGGGTACTGTACTCCCTGTGTGGCAGGGGGACACTGGGTACTGTACACCCTGTGTGGCAGGGGGACACTGGGTACTGTACACCCTGTGTGGCGGGGGACACTGGGTACTGTACACCCTGTGTGGCGGGGGACACTGGGTACTGTACACCCTGTGTGGCGGGGGACACTGGGTACTGTACACCCTGTGTGGCGGAGGACACTGGGTTCTATACACCCTGTGTGGCGGGGGACACTGGGTACTGTACACCCTGTGTGGCGGGGGACACTGGGTACTATACACCCTGTGTGGCGGGGGACACTGAGAGTACTGTACACCCTGTGTGGCGGGGGACACTGGGTACTGTACACCCTGTGTGGCGGGGGACACTGGGTACTGTACACCCTGTGTGGCGGGGGACACTGGGTACTGTACACCCTGTGTGGCGGGGGACACTGGGTACTGTTCACCCTGTGTAGCGGGGGACACTGGGTACTGTACACCCTGTGTGGCAGGGGGACACTGGGTACTGTACACCCTGTGTGGCGGGGGACACTGGGTACTATACACCCTGTGTGGCGGGAGACACTGGGTACTATACACCCTGTGTGGCGGGAGACACTGGGTACTGTACACCCTGTGTGGCTGAGGACACTGGGTACTGTACACCCTGTGTGGCGGGGACACTGGGTACTGTACACCCCTGTGTGGCGGGGGACACTGGGTACTGTACACCCTGTGTGGCGGGGGACACTGGGTACTGTACACCCTGTGTGGCGGGGACACTGGGTACTGTACACCCTGTGTGGCGGGGGACACTGGGTACTGTACACCCTGTGTGGCGGGGGACACTGGGTACTGTACACCCTGTGTGGCGGGGGACACTGGGTACTGTACACCCTGTGTGGCGGGGACACTGGGTACTGTACACCCTGTGTGGCAGGGGACACTGAGAGTACTGTACACCCTGTGTGGCGGGGGACACTGGGTACTGTACACCCTGTGTGGCGAGGGACACTGGGTAGTGTACACCCTGTGTGGCGGGGGACACTGGGTACTGTACACCCTGTGTGGCGGAGGACACTGGGTACTGTACACCCTGTGTAGCGGGGGACACTGGGTACTGTACACCCTGTGTGGCGGGGACACTGGGTACTGGACACCCTGTGTGGCTGAGGACACTGAGAGTACTGTACACCCTGTGTGGCGGGGGGCACTGGGTACTGTACACCCTGTATGGCTGAGGACACTGAGAGTACTGTACACCCTGTGTGGCGGGGGACACTGGGTAGTGTACACCCTTTGTGGCGGGAGACACTGGGTACTGTACACCCTTTGTGGCGGGAGACACTGGGTACTGTACACCCTGTGTGGCGGGGGACACTGAGAGTACTGTACACCCTGTGTGGCGGGGGACACTGGGTACTGTACACCCTGTGTGGCGGGAGACACTGGGTACTGTACACCCTTTGTGGCGGGAGACACTGGGTACTGTACACCCTGTGTGGCGGGGGACACTGGGTACTGTACACCCTGTGTGGCGGGGGACACTGGGTACTGTACACCCTGTGTGGCGGGGGACACTGGGTACTGTACACCCTGTGTGGCGGGGGACACTGGGTACTGTACACCCTGTGTGGCGGGGGACACTGGGTACTGTACACCCTGTGTGGCGGGGGACACTGGGTACTGTACACCCTGTGTGGCGGGGGACACTGGGTACTGTACACCCTGTGTGGCGGGGGACACTGGGTACTGTACACCCTGTGTGGCGGGGGACACTGGGTACTGTACACCCTGTGTGGCGGGGGACACTGGGTACTGTACACCCTGTGTAGCGGGGGACACTGGGTACTGTACACCCTGTGTAGCGGGGGACACCTCAACAAACGCCTCAGCTCTCAGGACAAACTTCCCAACAAGTGTGTCACTAATTATGCATCACTGCTTCACTGGCAACACTTGCTTTATGACGTAACACATGACACAGTAATCGTGATGAGGATTCGAACCTGTGAGCTGGGTATTCCCAGACGCACGCTCTACACCAGTGATCCGCAGAAAAATCTGGACTTTATTTGCATTTCATATATTTTATTAATAATAAAACAAAACGAAATATTCTAAGAAATTCTTATATTCTGAATGTTTTATTTTATTTGTGTGGTGTATGTAATACATCTGTAAGCTCACGGAGAGAATCCTAAGGGAGGGAATCATACAGCATTTCACTGAAAACAATCTTGTAAAATCAACGCATCATGGGTTTGGTAAAAGTTGGTCCTGCCTTACTAACCTGCTCACACTTCTAGAAACAGTAACCGGCTATTCAGACATTGGACTTCCCGTAGATGTAGCTTACATGGACTTTACCACCTGAGAGACTGGCAAGGAAATTACCGGCACGTGGAATAAATGGGAGAATACGGGAATGGATAAAACAATGGTTTAAACATAGATAACAAAGGGTCGTGCTAAATGGGAATGAATCTGACTTGGGGAATGTGTTAAGTGGGGTGCCACAGCGGTCCATTTTGGGGCCAACTCTTTTTCTTATATACATCAATAAAATAGATGAGAATATTACAAACCACGTCATAAATTTTGCAGATGACACTAAGATCTATGGTAAAGTTGGAAGTGAGAGTGATATTAAGACCTTACAAAGAGATCTACACCAACTCCACAAATTGTCAGATGATTGCCAAATGCTTTTTAATGTCGATAAATGCAAGACCTTGCTGCATGTGGGGCACAACAATCTGCATCACAACTACCAAATCGACAACACTATCTTACAGATTGATGAAAAAAATGACCTTGTATCTGAATCCATCATTCACTAAAAGTTGCACAACAAGTGGGAGCGGCAGTATAAAAAAGCGAACCAAGCCCTGGGAATAATCCAGCGTACCTTTACCTTCAAGGAAAATAAAGTAGTCGTTCAGTTGTATAAGTCTCTGGTGCGTCCCCATCTGGATTATTGCAACCAGGGATGGAGACCTCATCTTCTGAAAGACATAAGTGCTCTCGAGAAGGTGCAACACCGGGCAACAAAAATCATCCCAGAGCTAAGTCATCTCTCGTATCAGGAACGGTTGAGGGCCACAGGGCTAACAACACTGCAAACCAGGCATTTCAGGGCAGATCTCATCGAAACCTTTAAAATACTAAACAATTTGGAGGATGTCGATCCGGACAATTTCTTCAAAAGGTCAGATGGATGCTTCAAACAAGGAGCAACGGGTTCAAGCTCAACAAGCCACAATGTAGGCCTGAGAGGAGATGCTTCTTCACCCACAGGGTTGTTAACCCGTGGAGCCGTCTACCCGGCGAAGCCGTAAACGCCAAAACTCTGTTGGGTTTTAATATACAGTAGGAACAGTTCACGAGTGCAAATTGGGGGAACCTTTGACAAACCGCCGGATTCCTGTCCTCATCGAGAACAGGAATATTGGTTGCCCACAGGTATTATCACCAGTACTAACAGCAGTATACCCCACAGGTACTACCACCAGTACTAACACCAGTATACACCACAGGTACTACCACCAGTACTAACAGCAGTATACCCCACAGGTACTACCACCAGTACTAACACCAGTATACACCACAGGTACTACCACCAGTACTAACAGCAGTATACCCCACAGGTACTACCACCAGTACTAACACTAGTATACCCACCAGGTACTACCACCAGTACTAACACCAGTATACCCCACAGGTACTACCACCAGTACTAACACTAGTATACCCCACAGGTACTACCACCAGTACTAACACCAGTATACCCCACAGGTACTACCACCAGTATATCCCACAGGTACTACCACCAGTACTAATACCAGTATACCCCACAGGTACTACCACCAGTATATCCCACAGGTACTACTACCAGTACTAACACCAGTATACCCCACAGGTATTACCACCAGTATTAACACCAGTATACCCCACAGGTATTACCACCAATATTAACACCAGTATACCCCACAGGTACTACCACCAGTACTACCACCAGTACTAACACCAGTATACCCCACAGGTACTACCACCAGTACTAACACCAGTATACCCCACAGGTACTACCACCAGTATATCCCACAGGTATTACCACCAGTATTAACACCAGTATACCCCACAGGTATTACCACCAGTATTAACACCAGTATATCCCACAGGTACTACCACCAGTACTAACACCAGTATACCCCACAGGTACTACCACCAGTACTAACACCAGTATACCCCACAGGTACTACCACCAGTATACCCCACAGGTACTACCACCAGTATACCCCACAGGTACTACCACCAGTACTAACACCAGTATACCCCACAGGTACTACCAGCTGCGGACGTTCATCAAAGCCTCGACCAAGCTTCCCGCCAAGATAGAGTTAAGCCTTCCAAGGAACAACAGTGAGTAATTCCTCCATAACTCTTCATTCAACTTTAAATTGCTTTATTTCATCGACAATTTCTCGTATAAATATTGTTATCGTTTAACAGTTCGTCACATAATATATGCTATTGTTAATTGTATTTAGAAATGTGATATATGGAAATTGTTTTAATGTGTTTGTGTATGTGTACTGGCCTTATTGTTTGTGTATGTCTGTGTGTTTGTGTATGTGTACTGGCCTTATTGTTTGTGTATGTCTGTGTGTTTGTGTATGTGTACTGACCTTATTGTTTGTGTATGTCTGTGTGTTTGTGTATGTGTACTGACCTTATTGTTTGTGTATGTCTGTGTGTTTGTGTATGTGTACTGGCCTTATTGTTTGTGTATGCCTGTGTGTTTGTGTATGTGTACTGACCTTATTGTTTGTGTATGTCTGTGTGTTTGTGTATGTGTACTGGCCTTATTGTTTGTGTATGCCTGTGTGTTTGTGTATGTGTACTGGCCTTATTGTTTGTGTATGTCTGTGTGTTTGTGTATGTGTACTGGCCTTATTGTTTGTGTATGCCTGTGTGTTTGTGTATGTGTACTGACCTTATTGTTTGTGTATGTCTGTGTGTTTGTGTATGTGTACTGGTCTTATTGTTTGTGTATGCCTGTGTGTTTGTGTATGTGTACTGACCTTATTGTTTGTGTATGTCTGTGTGTTTGTGTATGTGCACTCGCCTTATTGTTTGTGTATGTCTGTGTGTTTGTGTATGTGTACTGACCTTATTGTTTGTGTATGTCTGTGTGTTTGTGTATGTGCACTCGCCTTATTGTTTGTGTATGTCTGTATATTTGTGTATGTGTACTCGCCTTATTGCCTTAATGTACTCACCTATTTGTATTCACTTATTTGTGCCTGCAGGATTGAGCATTGGCTCTTGGATCCGGCCTTTCTAGCCGCCGGTTGTTTAAAACACTGACTCCGGTCTATTTCCTTATCGTACCTAGTTTTGAAATTATGAATAGTGTTTGCTTCCACAACCTGCTCCTTTAGTTCATTACATTTTCCCACTACTCTCACGCGATAAAAAAAACTCTGGCATTTCTATGACTCATCTGAATTTCCAGCTTCCTCCCATGTCCCCTTGATTTGTTGGTATTCAGTGTGAATATATCGTCTATTTCCACTCTGTCAATCCCCCTAAGTATTTTATGTTTCTATCATATCTCCCCTCTCCCTCCTTTTTTCTTGCGTCGTCAGATGCAGTTCCTTCAGTCACTCTTCATACCCCATCCCTCACAAGTCTGGGACGAGCCTCGTCGAAAATTTCTGAACTTTTTCCAATTTCCTTATGTGTTTCTTCGCGTGGGGGGTCCGTGATGGGGCGGCATATTCTAAGACTGGTTTCACGTAGGCAGTGTAAAGCACTCTAAACGCCTCCTTAACTTAGGTTTTTTATTTATATGTGCCTCAGGAGTTAGATTTTGTGTTTGGAGTTAGATTTCCACTTCCAGGTCTCTTTCTCGAATCGTCACAGGTAGGTAGTTTCCCTTCACTGTATACTGTCATTTGGTCTCCTGTCACCTAGTCCCATTTCCATACACTTGCTCGTGTTGAACTCCAGTTGCCATTTATCTGACCATCTCTGCAGCTTGTTCAAGTCCTCTTGATGGATCCTCCAATACTCATCTGTCACAGCTCATCTCATTAATTTCGCCTCTTCCGCGAACATGGACATAAAGGACTCGACTCCTGTAGACATGTCGTTTACATATATTAGAAATAGAACTGGTCCCAGCACCGATCCTTGAGGTACTCCACTCGTTACCTTTCCCAGTCCGACTTCTCGCCCCTTACTGTTACTCTCTGGCTCCTGCCTTTTAAGTAATTCCTTACCCCAAGTTAGGGCATTTCCGGTTACTCCCGCCTGCCTCTCAAGTTTGAATAGCAGTCTCCTGCGCGGAACTGTGTCAAAAGCTTTTTGGCAGTCCAGAAATTTGCAATACATCCATCCTTCCCTGTCCTAACTTATTTTTATTACTTTATCATCGAATTCCAGAAGGTTTGTTAGGCATGCTTTCCCTTCTCTAAACCCATGTTGGTGTTTGTTTACAAACATAATTTTCTCTAAGTGTGTTTCCAGGCTTAACCTGATTATTCTTTCAAGAATTTTACAGGGGATGCGTGTCAATGATACTGATCTGTAGTTCAGTGCCACTTCCCTATTTCCTTTTTTGAAAATTGGTACCACATTTGCCTTCTTCTCTTCCTTAAGTAACTCATTAAAGATTCTTGCTAGAGGCACGCTGAGAGCCTACGCTGCTTCTTTCAGTATCCACGGTGATACGTTGTCTGGTCCAACTGTTTTAATTTTATCGTGTTGTTAGATGTTTCATTACCTCCTCTGCTGTCACTTCTATATCCGTTAGTCTCTCATCTTGGGTTATCTCCTCTTTTAACAATGGGAGTTGCTTAAGCTCGGTTGTGAACACTTCGTGGAAACTGGCATTCAATGCCTCGCAGATATCCTTGTCACTTTCTGAATACAATAATATATATGATATTAATATATAATATATCCTGTTTTCCAAAGTCTTGTCACGGTCGTTATCGACTTTTCCTTTTTATGTGACTACGTAATAATTTAGGTTGCTTTTATGCTTTCATTGCAATATCGTTCTCATAATTTCTTTCTGATATTCTCCATATATTAATATATTCATTCCTAGCACTGTTGCATCTGTTCCCGCTATCCTCTGTTCTTTGTCCTCTGTACTTTCTCCACTCGCTACTGCTTCTCATTTTTCTTCCTGACATTTCTATTAAACCATGGGTTATTATACTCCCCTCCTACATTTTTGCCTTACTGTTGGTGTAAAACTACCTTCAGCCTCCTTGCATTTCCACTTGACTAGGTCCATCATATCTTGTACTGTTATCCTCTAAATTCATCATACCAATGCACTTCTCCCAGATATTCCCTTATCCTCCTGTAATCTCCTGGAAAGGAACTAGTCTTTCCCATACATCTTGTCACATGTTCATAATTTTAAACTCGGTCATGTAGGCAAAGATTAGGACATAATGATCACTGTTGGCCGGTAGAGCGACAGTCTCGCTTCATGCAGGTCGGCTTTCAATCCCCGACCGTCCAAGTGGTTGGGCACCATTCCTTCCCCTCCGTCCCATCACAAATCATTATCCTGATCCCTTCCCAGTGCAATATAGCCATAATGGCTTGTCGCTTCTCCTAATAATCCCTTTCTTCCTTCCTCGTTCTAGGTGAAAATCTGGTCTAATAGGCTCGGTGTATCCCCTTCTCTTTTCCTTGTGACTTAATTCACATGTGTTAGGAAATTCCTTTTTATAACTTCTACTAATTTTGTCCCACACGTTTCCTCCCCGCTGTGGGGGATTTCTTGATTCCCAATCGATCTCTCCGTGGTTGAAGTCCCCATGACCAGCAGTTTCACTCTCATTCTGTGGACTGTTTTTGCTGCCCTCTGCAGTTCATCTATTCATGCCTTTGTTGCTCTCATCATATTACTGTCTGGGCCTTCTACTGCTTGGCGGGGGATTGTAGATTATCAAGATCACAATCCTCTTCCCATCTGCTCTCAGAGTCCAGAGCATGGAGCTTGTGTTTCCATTAGTCCCCGATTTTCTAGTTCCTTAAATCACCATTTCCGCTTTATTAGGAGTGCCACTCCCCCTCCCTGTCTCTGTGTTTTCCTTCCTTGTCACTTGGTATCCCACTGGATAGATTGCATCGGAGATCACTGAATTCCCCCAGAGTGTCTGATTTTCCTTCGGGTTCACCGGGTTGGCCCGGTGGAGCCTGCCTATACGAGTATTTTCTAATGATTGTTTAAGGTCAATACGTTGTTTCATCAAAACCTTTTCCTCCTGCAACTCTTTCATTGCCTTATGATATGTGTTATGTAACACATCTCAACTGGGATTTGTTACCATTTAGTCCAGTAAGAGTGTCTGGGTGACACAAGAAGATTGATTGATTGGTGAAGATTAAGTCACGCAACAGGTGGCACGGGCATGAATAGCCCGTAAGTGGTAGATTTTTTGTTTAGTAAATGTATACTGTGTGTCGCATTTAATCGTCAGGCTGCTATTGCGGGGGAGGATACTGCTTCACAGTATTTATGAGGGTGTTCGTTGGTTGCTTCACATTTTAGGAGATAGTGAAGTAGTGGCTTTTTTGTGACAGTTTGGCAGATGATGCATTCTCTCTGTCGTGGTTCACCAAACTCCCAGTTGCACCTGTAACCTGGACGTAGTCTATATAACCGAACTGTTATTTCCCTGTGGATTCCTTTTGGGATATTTAACCTGTCTAACTTGGTGGCCTGAAGATACCGTATTGTAGAGGGCGAACCTTCAGTTACTCTCTGGTGTAGATGGGCTTTGTTGAGGTGTGAGAGGTTATTGGTGATGATGTTGTTTATGTTCTCTAGGATTGTTTTGTGGGTCACTGGATGACGACTTGCCAATTTAGCAATTTCATCGACTTTCTCATTTAATGGGATTCCAACATGGGATGGGATCCAGTTTAAGGTTATGTTGAGTCTTTTGCCTTTAGTTACTGCTCCAAGATACAAAATGGTGGTAAATATTTCCACGTTGTCTTTCTACTGCTTTTGTCCTAATATTTGAAGTGCAACTTTTGAGTCTGTGTGTATGATTGCATTTTGAGTGTTTTGTGCAATCACATATGCGAATGCCTGTTGTATGGCAAACAGCTCAGGTTGGGTTGATGATGTTGGCTCCTGCTACTGCAATGCTGCTCATTTGCTTTTCTATGGTGCGTCTTAAGATTGTTGGATGATAAACAGCCTTTTTCTTCGGAAGACCTTTTATTACTATTCTAAAGGTAGGCTCCTACCACGGTGGGGAACAAGTGTAGTTTGAATGTGGATGATCACCTCCTCTATCAAGAATCCTGCTTTTTAATTGTTGTCTGTTTAGGACTTTTCCCGCTCTGGCAGCCCAAGAGTTTCTGTTGTTTTGGCCAAG